GCAAAACAGTTTAAAATGATGAGCAACAATCTCGAGGTGGGCTTGGCATAGGAATACACTAACATACAATAATCATCTACAGCCTGGCGACATGCCAACTCCATCTGCGTCTTCATACACAAACACTTCAGCTGAACCAACATCATAAGTAGTCATTATGTATGATGTTGGCTTTAGCTAATTAGCTTGGTTTAAATCTAACCAACAAACCTATTATGCCAAGCTAATTGTGTTATGGTAGTGTGAAGGCAGTTTCTATAAGATTGCATCAGCTGTCATGATGACCGGTTATAACATGTTATGTCATCTTTATGGCAGTGTTATATAGACTATATGGCAGTAGGTTCAGTGAAGAGTTAACAACAGTTACTAACATAACCACCCTGAGGTACAGTCTGTAATCTGTTGAGACTGACAGACATCTAAATCAACAATGATTCACAATTCTGCACTAAAGATAGATTTGATAATAGACATATCATAACGACCAATATGACCTGGCTGTTCCAATGTTTTCAACATGACATCAGAACATTCAGAGTGAGGAGTAAAACCTCCTTCAGATTGAGACAGTACCAAACAGGAGACATAGCTACAGACATCTGAGGCTTTAAATTAGAAGAGGCGCTAGAAGCTCAGATATTCATTTGTCATGTTGTTCTGTAATAGAAGAGTCCCTTCAGGACATTCAGTGGTTGCCAACATTTGAGCCAGTGCTGCTGCAACAGAGAGGAGGTAGCATGAAATTACCCCTAGACCAGTGGAGGCTGCTGAGGGGAGGACGGCTCATAATAATGGTTGGAACAGAGCAATTGGAATGGCATCAAACACATGGAAGCTGTGTTTTTGATGCATTTGATACCATTCCGCTTATTCTGCTCCAGCCATTACCACAAGCCCGTCCTCCCCAATTAACTGTGCCCTAGACACTGATCCAAGGTCAGTTTTGTGTTTGGTTAAGGTCTGCATTGGCGTGTAACTGATCCTAGATCTGTTCCTACAGGGAATTTCTACCCAAAGTCAGACTGGAGGCTGATACAATCATCTTCCACACAGTCAAAAACAACAGGGCTACCATAGACAACGGAGTACCATAGAGCTCACACATAGTGAGACAACGTAACCTAGCCCACTTAGCCAGGCTAACCAATGACAGAGGACTGTTGGACTAGACACAGTTAAGAAAACTACACTACCCAACTCTACACACTCAACTCCTTAAATGGAAAAGACAAACAGGCAACCCTGTACTTTAAAAACATACATTGGTATTTTTTAAGAATTTGATTTAATTATTACCACCTTAGACTGAAAAGAATCATGATGCAGCCACCCAACCCTAATATGAATCTACAGTTAGTTGTGTCTCATACAAGACCATGAGCCCTTGAAGTGACCCCACACTCATCAGTACACTTTGTCTTTTAGTAAAAACAAAACGAATAAAAGCATTTGACCAGGACTCTTAGGTATATGTGGCATCACACTGTACACACTGTACAGTGAGGGGAAAAAGTATTTGATCCCCTGCTGATTTTGTACGTTTGCCCACTGACAAAGACATGATCAGTCTGTCATTTTAATGGTAGGTTTATTTGAACAGTGAGAGACAGAATAACAATAGAAAAATTCAGAAAAACGCATGTCAAAAATGTTATAAATTGATTTGCATTTTAATGAGGGAAATAAGTATTTGACCCCTCTGCAAAACATGACTTAGTACTTGGTGGCAAAACCCTTTTTGGCAATCACAGAGGTCAGACGTTTCTTGTAGTTGGCCACCAGGTTTGCACACATCTCAGGAGGGATTTTGTCCCACTCCTCTTTGCAGATCTTCTCCAAGTCATTAAGGTTTCGAGCCTGACGTTTGGCAACTCGAACCTTCAGCTCCCTCCACAGATTTCCTATGGGATTAAGGTCTGGGGACTGGCTAGGCCACTCCAGGACCTAAAATGTGCTTCTTCTTGAGCCACTCCTTTGTTGCCTTGGCTGGAATACCCATCCACAACCCATTTTCAATGCCCTGGCTGAGGGAAGGAGGTTCTCACCCAAGATTTTACGGTACATGGCGCCGTCCATCGTCCCTTTGATGCGGTGAAGTTGTCCTGTCCCCTTAGCAGAAAAACACCCCCAAAGCATAATGTTTCCACCTCCATGTTTGACAGTGGGGATGGTGTTCTTGGGGTCATAGGCAGCATTCCTCCTCCTCCAAACACGGCGAGTTGAGTTGATGCCAAAGAGCTCGATTTTGGTCTCATCTGACCACAACACTTTCACCCAGTTCTCCTCTGAATCATTCAGATGTTCATTGGCAAACTTCAGACGGGCCTGTATATGTGCTTTCTTGAGCAGGGGGACCTTGCGGGCGCTGCAGGATTTCAGTCCTTCACGGCGTAGTGTGATACCAATTGTTTTCTTGATGACTATGGTCCCAGCTGCCTTGAGATCATTGACAAGATCCACCCGTGTAGTTCTGGGTTGATACCTCACCGTTCTCATGATCATTGCAACTCCACGAGGTAAGATCTTGCATGGAGCCCCAGGCCGAGGGAGATTGACAGTTATTTTGTGTTTCTTCCATTTGCGAATAATCGCACCAACTGTTGTCACCTTCTCACCAAGCTGCTTGGCGATGGTCTTGTAGCCCATTCCAGCCTTGTGTAGGTCTACAATCTTGTCCCTGACATCCTTGAAGAGCTCTTTGGTCTTGGCCATGGTGGAGAGTTTGGAATCTGATAGATTGATTGCTTCTGTGGACAGGTGTCTTTTATACAGGTAACAAACTGAGATTAGGAACACTCCCTTTAAGAGTGTGCTCCTAATCTCAGCTCGTTATCTGTATAAAAGACACCTGGGAGCCAGAAATCATTCTGATTGAGAGGGGGTCAAATACGTATTTCCCTCATTAAAATGCAAATCAATTTATAACATTTTTGACATGCGTTTTTCTGGATTTTTCTGTTGTTATTCTGTCTCTCACTGTTCAAATAAACCTACCATTAAAATTATAGACTGATCATTTCTTTGTCAGTGGGAAAACGTACAAAATCAGCAGGGGATCAAATACTTTTTTCCCCTCACTGTATATACAACAGAAACCAAACATAAAAAACAAGATAAAAATCTGCACGCACAGAAAATATGACGAGCAAAAAGCAACAGAAAGATAGTAGTATTTACACAATAATTTAATCTTCACAAGCATCGTGAGTGAAATATTCTGAAAAGATTGCCCCGTACGCAAAGGAAAAGTGGAAAAGCGGTCTGAACTATACTCCTTCAATCTGAATAAAGCTAGACAGCAGGCCAGTTACATTCATGTTTACCTAACAATGGTTTCAGTTTTCTGTATGACATTAACTGTCAAAATGTAACTGAAAGTGACATCAACAGAAGTGCTGGGTGGTTTATTTCACCCAACAACGTTTCAGCAACGTTTACACCAGGGGTGCTTTTGGGCTTGGTGGGCCAAAACATAATCTGAGTGGCCAAACAAAGACATAATTTATTTAGAAATATTAAAAAGTTAAACAATTGCTTTTTAGGGTCTTGAAAAATAGCTTTCTTTGAAAATAATCATAAAATTACACTTCAAACATGAATCAAATCGTAGCCATATAACTTGACACTTAACAACACATTCTAATTACAAGTATTAAAGATGTATAACATTTTAGTTTTTCAGCAATTCTACACATTTTACATGGTGCAGAGATAAAATGTAGCAGTTTTGTTACTAATTTCATGTGATAAAACAAAAATGTCCATGGGATGGAGAGACATTTTTGCACGTTTTAATGCTAATTCCCTGCAGTTGTACACATTTTGCTATGACTTATGCCATGTTCATATGATATCCGTGTGAGAGTGATTAACAAAATCAAATGTGGGCCCCCTGGAGGTCAGGGCCCCTGGACACGTGCCTTGGGTGCCCGTCAGTAATTTGACCATGATTACTACAAGTTTTAGACAGCTGGCTAGACTAACTTACCTAGCAATCAATAAAATGTTAGCTGACATGGGCTAATTGATTGACTGTCAGTGACTGACATAACAAGAGGAAAACTGCTGAGGCACTACCAAATTTTGAAATGACACGTTGTCTATTCTACTATGCCATCTCGCAACAGAATGTTGTGAACCCGACTGACTTCCAAAAAAAAAAAAAAGAAGTCAGTCGGGGGCCCTCTAGCGGCCCTTGCGGGCCAAACCAAACGTTGTCCCCTGGTTTACACCATCAGACCAAAATACTTCTTGAGGTCTAACTAACAGACTGACAGTGGTGGAAATGTGGTAGAGTTGAACTTTCGGAGCATCTAAACCAAGGGTGTCAAACTCATTTTGACCCGGGGGCCACATTCTGTCTTTTACAAGGTCTGGAGGGCTGCACTGAATTTTTTTTTAACAATATTTCCTCACCGCCAAAATCTGCTAAACATAGTCCTCTATCCATCGTTTTTTGAATTTTCTATGCTCCCTGACGGTCTAGTTTTCATTTCGGTGATTATTAGCGAGCTAGACACAGTCAATAAACTGTATACATGTAGGTCCATTAACATTTCTACACAGTTTCAATTTGGTTTTAGTCATTTTATGTCTCACATTTTTTTGAGGCCACCACTGATCTAAACAGTAAGAAGGTATTTTCCTTCAACATATACACTTGTAGCTGTATATGTTCTGGCTGTAGCCTGCGTAGCCTGCTGAGCGTGCCTACTGTACACTGTCAGCTACCCCTCTGTAGCCTTACTCTGGCCTTCAACAGACATTCTCCCATCTCCCCCTTTTCTCCCAGACAGTAGGACAGTCATGTGGAGGCTGGAGTCGGGGCCAGGGCCTGAGATCACAATTAGTCACTGAGCCATGAGAGTTTCACAGGTGACACATACTGATGACATGTTGCCAGAGCTGATTACACAGCATGTTCTCTTCCTGTATTCCTTTGTTCTCAGGTGGATGCTACACATACATGCACTAGGGGGTGGTGGAAGGGGTGCGTTACCTCCATACAATGTGAAGCACGTTGCGTTTGAAAGAAAGACGCACTGCTGTGTGTCCAGGCATGGTGTTATGATGAAAGCTGTGTGAAGATTTGGTCGACAGCATAGAGAGAGAGCTGATACGGGGTCTGATACACAATCTGGAGAGCAACCCTGAGCTGGCTACTACAACTCCTAGGACACCCTGTTCCGTATATAGTGCACTACTTCTGACCATAGTGAAAAAAAGTAGCCACTATATGGGGAATATGATGTCATTTGAGACAAGCCCTAGTATAGTGCAAACACTGCTGTTGCCATGCCAACATGGCCCCACGGAGCTGGTTGCCAGGAGCGACAGTTGCCAAGCGGCCATGTTAGAGCCAGTGTCTGAGTGTTGGGAGGTTCCTGTCCATCCAGAGCTGGTTCAGTTCGATGGTCTCTAAAGCCTCCTGGACGCTACGCATCTGAGACCCCCGCTCCTTCAGACTGGAGAAGAAACCCTGGACCTACACACACACACACACAGTTGACATGAGAGAAGATACACATGCACTACGCACCTGATACACAGACACATGATATACAGTCGGCATGGTTCTGAGGTATAAGCTCACCTCCTCCAGGTGTGTCTGAGTGGAGAACTGGGAGGTGGTGGACTTGATGATGCTTTGGATGGGATAGGACCCCACTGGGAACCTACACACACACAGCCAAAAACAGACCATTTATTCACAACAGCCAATAAAAATAGGCCACTTCTCCATAAGAGCCAATCGAAACAGGCTAGGCTCCATAATAGCCAATCGAAACAGGCCCACTGATATCGATTGGGAAACTGTATTGTTTTTGGGTCCACTGTTCTGTAGGTTGATGCTGTAAGTATATAAATGTGCACTGAGTATACCAAACATTAGGAACACCTTCCTAATATTGAGTTGCACCCCCTTTTGCCCTCAGAACAGCCTCCATTCGTTGGGGCATGGACTCTACAAGGTGTCAAAAGCATTCCACAGGGATGCTGGCCCATGTTGACTTCTTGATACACACGGGAAACGGTTGAGCGTGAAAAACCCAGCAGCGTTGCAGTTCCTGACACAAACCAGTGCTCCTGGCACCTACTACCATACCCCGTTCAAAATAACTTAAATATTTTGTCTTGCCCATTCACCCTCTGAATGGCACACATACACAATCCATGTCTCAATTGTCTCAAGGCTTAAAAATCATTCTTTAACCTGTTTCTTCCCCTTCATCTACACTGATTGAAGTGGATTTAACAGGTGACAACAATAAGGGATCATAGCTTTCACCTGGTCAGTCTGTCATGGAAAGAGCAGGTGTTCTTAATATACTCAGTGTATAATTTATCTTATTCATAAGGTGGCACTCACTTCTCTATGATCCTGTCCCAGTTCTCTTTGACAAAGTCCCAGACGAACAAGTGGCCAGCGAAGCCGTCGCTCATGGTGCTGATGACCAATGGCAGCTCCTGGGTCTGGATAATCCCTCCCTCGAGCCCCGCGCTGAGAATCCTGAAGGAGGTGGTATTTAGAGTGATGAGACACACACCACAGGCCGCAACAAACATATCTGTGCACAGCTTGAGTACATTTGATATATTAGTCATTTAGCAGACGCTCTTATCCAGAGCGACATACAGTTAGTCCATTCATCTTAAGATAGCTAGGTGGGACAACCACATCTCACAGTAAGTACATTTTCCCCCAATAAAGTAGTTATCAGCTAGTCAGAGCTAGTAAGTCAAGTGCGAATGTTAGTTCACGAAAGCATCGGGCATGAGGAGCGGGTGCGAGGGGGAGGGGTGCGCTGTGGGATTATTTAAGATACTCTTTGAAGAGGTAGGGTTTCAGATGTTTTCGGGAAGATGGGAAGGGACTCTTCTGTCCTAGCTTCAGGGGGAAGCTCAGCTTGAGTCCAGCTGTATGTCGCTCTGCACAAACTCTGGGTAGAGGTTTAGTTGGCCAGTTAATCTGTCTGTCAATTGATTGATTAAGTACCATGGACCCACACACACTCTCTCCCTTACCATACGATGCTTTGTGGGTCCTGTGTGGAGGCCAGGGCCTGCAGTATCTTGCGTTTCTCAGAGTCGTAGGTGGAGGAACTGTAGGCCTCCATGAGAGAACGCCAACCGAGGTCAGACTTGGCCGCTACAGAGAACACTACTCGCTGCAGATCACCCGGGATCCTGGAGGAGACACAACAGATCACCACAAGATCACTATAGAATAGATCTCTGGCTTTATTACTGATGATGACCATGGTGGCCAAAAAATCTAAAAGTATATATTTGTTTTAAACCAGCAAAAGTTGTGCCTCCGTCTTTCTTATATATAAACTCTTAAGTCAGTTGGTGTGTGTACCTACTGTTTGGTGTGGTTGGAGTTGGTCCACTGGTCATAGAGGGCCATGGCCTGGTCAGTACAGTTCTGCCGTCCCAGACTACAGGCCATCTCTAGCAGGGCTGACCTCAGCTCCAGTCTGGACACACTCTCCTCCTCTCCCCAGTCCTGACTGTCCATCAGCTGGCCAAAATGACTGCAGACGTATGCCTGAAACACACATTACAAAGAGAAAGTTAGCACAGTCAGTTTGTCCCAAATGGTGGGACTAGGCTCCAAAACAAGGTACCTGACAATCTAGTGTGTGTGTGTGCGTGAGTGCATTTACCTTCATGCGGGCCACCAGTCTTAGCTCCTGTCTCTTGTTCAGTAGTCTGTAGACAGAGCTGAGCTGTGACAGGGCCTCTGTCAGAGGAGCAGTCTCAGTCTCATTGGTGGCATAATCCAACAGACTGAGAACCTGACGGAAGGACACACGACCCAGCCTGATGAGAGGGAGAGAAGAAAAAAATTGACAATAGATCTGAATCAATTCTATCTATTTGTATCTGTTGCCTATTCTCTGTGCAGTGGAGCATCCATAAGATCTAAAATACAGACATTCACGTAATCGTACAAGTCCAGACAGAGTATTAAGACAGGCCTCCAATAAAAAATATTTGCTAGTATTACCATTGAGCGTACCATGCCACAGTACAAACACACACACTGACCTGGACAGGGCAAAGATGTTGTGTATGAGCGAAGCGCGGTCATGGGGTGTGAGTGTGTTGACATCAGTCTTTAGAGCATCTATGAGAGTGGCCCAGCCCTCGTCTCCATAGTGAACTATATAGAAGCCCGTGTTCATGTAGTTCAACTTCAGCCACTTCACACTGTCTGACACCTTCAGAGTAGCTAAGTGGGAAACACAGAACAATGCACTCAGACACATGATCATGCTCTTACCGAGAACCTCAGAGCATACAATCAGCAGGCCAAATATCACTAACTACTACAGTACCAGTCAAAAGTTTGGACACACCTACTCATTCAAGGGTTTTTCTTTATTTTTACTATTTTTTTTACATTGTAGAATAATAGTGAAGATATCAAAACTATGAAATAACACATATGGAAATCATGTAGTCACCAAAAAAGTGTTAAAAATATATTTTAAATTTGAGATTCTTCAAAGTAGCCACCCTTTGCCTTGATGACAGCTTTGCACACTCTTGGCATTCTCTCAACCAGCTTCATGAGGAATGCTTTTCCAACAGTCTTGAAGGAGTTCCCACATATGCTGAGCACTTGTTGGCTTCTTTTCCTTCACTCTGCGGTCCAACTCATCCCAAACCATCTCAATTGGGTTGACGTTGGGTGATTGTGGAGACCAGGTCATCTGATGCAGCACTCCATCACTCTCTTCTTGGTCAAATAGCCCTTACATAGCCTGGAGGAGTGTTGGGTCATTGTCCTGTTGAAAAACAAATTATTGTCCCTACTAAGCGCAAACCAGAAGGGATGGCGTATCGCTGCAGAATGCTGTGGTAGCCATGCTGGTTGAGTGTGCCTTGAATTCTAAATAATTCACAGACAGTGTCACCAGAAAAGCCACCTCACACCATAACGGTGGGAAATACACATGCGGCGATAATCCTTTCACCTACTCTGCGTCTCACAAAGACACGGCAGTTGGAACCAAAAATCTCAAATTTGGACTCATCAGACCAAAGGACAGATTTCCACCGGTCTAATGTCCATTGCTCGTGTTTCTTGGCCCAAGCAAGTCTCTTCTTCTTATTGGTGTCCTTTAGTAGTGGTTTCTTTGCAGCAATTCGACCATGAAGGCCTGATTCACGCAATCTCCTCTGAACAGTTGATGTTGAGATGTGGCTGTTACTTGAACTCTGTGAAGCATTTATTTTGGCTGCAATTTCTGAGGCTGGTAACTCTAATGAACTTATCCTCTGCAGCAGAGGTAACTCTGGGTCTTCCTTTCCTGTGGCGGTCCTCATGAGAGCCAATTTCATCATAGCGCTTGATGGTTTTTGCGACTGCACTTGAAGAAACTTTCAAAGTTCTTGAGATTTTCCGGATTGACTGACCTTCATGTCTTAAAGTAATGATGGACTGTCGTTTCTCTTTGCTTATTTGAGCTGTTCTTGCCATAATATCGACTTGGTCTTTTACCAAATGGGCTATCTTCTGTATACCACCCCTACCTTGTCACAACACCACTGATTGGCTCAAAAGCATTAAGAAGGAAAGAAATTCCACAAAATAACTTTTAACAAGGCACACCTGTTAATTGAAATGCATTCCAGGTGACTACCTCATGAAGCTGGTTGAGAGAATGCCAAGAGTGTGCAAAGCTGTCATCAAGGCAAAGGGTGGCTATTTGAAGAATCTCAAATCTCAAATATATTTTGTTTTGTTTAACACTTTTTTGGTTACTACATGATTCCATATGTGTTATTTCATAGTTTTGATGTCTTCACTATTATTCTACAATGTAGAAAATAGTAGAAAATAAAGAAAAACTATTGAATGAGTAGGTGTGTCCAAACTTTTGACTGGTACTGCATATACAGTGGCTTGTGAAAGTATTCACCCCCCCCCCCCCCCCCCCTTGGCATTTTTCCTATTTTCTTGTCTTACAACCTGGAATTAAAATGGATTTTTTGGGGGTTTGTATCATTTGATTTACACAACATGCCTATCACTTTGTAGAGCCACCTTTTGCAGCAATTACAGCTGCAAGTCTCTTGGGGGTATGCCTCTATAAGCTTGGCACATCTAGCCACTGGGATTTTTGCCCATTATTCAAGGCAAAACTGCTCCAGTTCCTTCAAGTTGGATGGGTTCCGCTGGTGTACAGCAATCTTTAAGTCATACCACAGATTCTCAATTGGATTGAGGTCTGGACTTTGACTAGGCCATTCCAAGATATTTAAATGTTTCCCCTTAAACCACTCCAGTGTTGCTTTAGCAGTATGCTTACGGTCATTGTCCTGCTGGAAGGTGAACCTCCATCCCAGTCTCAAATCTCTGGAAGACAGAAACAGATTTCCCTCAAGAATTTCCCTTTATTTAGCGCCATCCATCATTCCTTCAATTCTGACCAGTTTCCCAGTCCATGCCGATGAAAAACATCCCCACAGCATGATGCTGCCACCACCATGCTTCACTGTGGGGATGGTGTTCTCGGGGTGATGAGAGGTGTTGGGTTTGCGCCAGACATAGCGCTTTCCTTGATGGCCAAAAAGCTCAATTTTAGTCTCATCTGACCAGAGTACCTTCTTCCATATGTTTGGGGAGTCTCCCACATGCCGTTTTGGCGAACACCAAAAGTGTTTGCTTATTTTTTTCTTTAAGCAATGCAATGGCTTTTTTCTGGCCACTCTTCCGTAAAGCCCAGCTCTGTGGAGTGTACGGCTTAAAGTGGTCCTATGGACAGATACTCCAATCTCCGCTGTGGAGCTTTGCAGCTCCTTCAGGGTTCTCTTTGGTCTCTTTGTTGCCTATCTGATTAATGCCCTCCTTGCCTGGTCTGTGTGTTTTGGTGGGCGGCCCTCTCTTGGCAGGTTTGTTGTGGTGCCATATTCTTTCAATTTTTTTAATCATGGATTTAATGGTGCTCCGTGGGATGTTCAAAGTTTCAGATATTTTTTTATAACCCAACCCTGATCTGTACTTCTCCACAACTTTGTCCCTGACCTGTTTGGAGAGCTCCTTGGTCTTCATGGTGCCGCTTGCTTGGTGGTGCCCCTTGCTTAGTGGTGTTGCAGACTCTGGGGCCTTTCAGAACAGGTGTATATATACTGAGATCATGTGACAGATCATGTGACACTTAGATTGCACACAGGTGGACTTTATTTAACTAATTATGTGACTTCTGAAGGTAATTGGTTGCAACAGATCTTATTTAGGGGCTTCATAGCAAAGGGCGTAAATACATATGCACGCACCACTTTTCCACTGTACATATACATATATATATATACATGTATCACAAGCAATTAAAATCATAAAGTCATAAAGGCTTACTTGTGCTGAATTGGACAATTCAAAAAGTTAGTCAAGCTCACTGACAACTACACAGCTGAATGCACAGAGTTTTACCTGTCTTATTATTTACCTGTCTTTTAATTACCTGTCTTCTTTATCTGTCTTATTAGTTACCTGTCCTATTATTTACCTGTCTTATTTCTCAGATGGAAGATCTGTCTGCAGGAAGGCGCAGAGCTACAGCTGTCATTCACATATGTCACGGGGATATGCCACAGGCTGAGAAGAACACAAAGAAATGTTGGTGTGAGTGTGTGTGTGTGTGTGTGTGTGTGTGTGTGCGCGTGCGTGCGTGTGTTCGTGCATGTCTCACCTAGAGGTGTAAGTGGCATTGTCTGCGGAGAGCAGGAAGTGTTCCTGTGTGAGGGTCACCTGACCAGCCTTGCGGCTGACGGTGACCAATGGGAAGCCTTTTTGCAGCGTCCATGTTCTCATCATGTCTGACACACTCTCCTGCTGGGGAAGCACCTGGGCCTGGAACATCCAGAACCAACAATCATCAATAATCATAAATAATCAATGACAAATATAAATAATCTACTAATATGACTACTCATCACCATGGGAGAGATATGGAGTATCACCATCAGTAGTACTAATACAACAGACAAGAGGAAGGATATGGCGGCAGATTTTACAGGAGCAAAATAAGGAACCTGTGAAAATAACTAATAAGGAAACAGAGATTAACTGTAAGAGACAGAGTGTCTCAGACAGACCACACCTACCTGTGTGAGGCTGTTCCAGAGGTCTTCAGTAACAGTGTTAGATCCTTTATTCAGGTAATCGATGAGTCCTTTCCTGAACTGACCGTCTGGCAGAGTGGAGTTCAACATCAGCAGGAGGGATGCACCCTAGAGACACACACAGACACACAGACAGACACAGAGAGACACATTACTGATGTGACTATAGCAGCAATATCATTCACACTACTAATCAATTAACTTTTAAGCACATTTGTAAGGTAAGCCCAAAGATTGTACCTTCTCATAGGTGACAGAGTCAAACATCTCAGACACCTGTTCAGGTGTGGTCACCTGGGACGACTCTGACACTGGGTGGGAGGAGTTTACAGAATCTTTGGCCATCGCCTTAAACCGCACCCCCAGGAACGAATTGCCCTGGAGACAGAGAAGACAGGTTATTATTCCATGGCCATCTAAATCTACATTGACCCCTTCTACAGCACTTGCATGTGTGACGTGGTGCTACTTACTAGCTCCAGCTGTGGGAACTCTGTCATTAGGGACGTGTACTGCCAATAGGTGGCAAAGCCTTCGTTCAGCCACAGGTCATTCCACCAACGCATCGTCACCAGGTTCCCAAACCACTGACACACAACATCACAACAGAATTAGAACAGTTTTATGACAGCTTTATAACACTATCATAAGAGCATTACAGCACTGTTATAGCAACGGCATAAAACAGCAGCACTTCTTAACCAAACATCAAAACAGCATTAAGACTGCTGAGATACATACACATATGTTCCATCACCTTGTAATGGTCTACACACCCACCCACACACACACACACACACACATCAGACAAACACATACCTGGTGAGCGAGCTCGTGGGCTACGACGTTAGCAATGAGTTGTTTGTCAAGAGGAGAGGACTGGTTTCCCACCAGCAGGCTGGTCTCTCTAAAGGTGATCAGACCCCAGTTCTCCATCGCTCCCGCCAGGAAGTCTGGGATAGCAACCAGGTCTGGAGGAGGGAGAGAGAGGGAAGGAAGAGTAGAGAGAGAGGGACGGAATGGTGGAGGGGTAAATACCAATACATATTTAGTGTCTCATTATCGAAAACATTACACTTTTCCCTCACATTTTCAAATGGATTAAATTGTTATTTTTAGAATAAGGCTGTAACGTAACAAAATGTGGAAAAGGTCAAGGGGTCTGAATACTTTCCGAATGCACTGTACATGTAAAACGTGTTCATCAGTTGAGTTTATTGTGTGAGGGCTGAGTGTCTGTGTGTTGTGTCTTGTGTCACCTCTCACCTAGTTTCCTCAGAGGGTAGTCGATTTCAAAGAAGGTGTTGTAGAACTGCAGCAGCTTAGAGGCTGTGTCCAGAGCATAGTGTGTGTGTTCCTTCTTCTCTGGCACAGAGTACACTGACACCTAGAACACACAAACCATAGAAACTGAATAAATACAATAGATCCCAAAATAGGGGGATAGGCACAGAGTAGGGGGGGGGGGGGGTGTAGTGGCCACCGGGGAAACACTTGACAGCTATCTGCATTCCAGTGTGTTGCAGGCAATAGAAATAGTGTGAATAGATTGTGAGGCAGGGATTCTGTACGTACCAGTGTATTGGAGACGTTTCTAGTGACGCTGGTGAAGTTAGCTACGATGAAGGCCACCAGGTAGGTGCTCATATTAACACTAGTCTGCTCAAACTCATCCTCCAATAGGCCGCTGGGTAATGTAGTAGTCTTAGCCTGGGGAACACAACACAGTCATATTAACAGATGGTTAACACACTGGCAAGTGTCTCCAATCAACACATCATGTATTTGCTTTTGTAATGTATTGATGCATGTTTACCACTTAAAAACACTGGTGCACGCAAACTCTCGAGCGCGCTAGCGAGTACACACACACATTGTACCTGGGGCATGTTGGACAGAGTGATGTATCCAGGCTCCCTGGTGATCCTGACCAGGAAGGTGGCTTTAAAGGCTGGCTCGTCAAAACAGGGGAAGGCCTTCCTGGCAGCCTGGGGCTCAAACTGAGTGGCAGCTAGGACCCTGAGGAGGGGGTGGCCAGGGTCACTCACAGAGAGCAAGGACTAGCAAGGACTAGGCTCAAACTGGAGTTGTAGTTTATTACATGTCAACAAACATTGTCAAGTTTACACACCATTACAGAATGAATCTCACTGCATTCACCCTGAGTTAAGTTGTTATTTTTTAGTAAATAGTTTTTAGTGTTTTTAAATAGTTTTGCTTACCTCTTGGCTCCAGTCTTGTCGTTGTAGGAGCTGTTGTAGAAGCCGTCATAGGTGTGTGAGAGGTTGGCTGTGTAGTCCAACGTTAACACACACACCTGGCCTGCCTTCAGATCCTCTGGGAAGCTGACAGCTATCTGCTGCCACGGCTTATACTCCAACACCTTGACCTCAACACTCTTATCCTCTCCAACCTGGAAGGGTTACAGTAAAAACAGCATTTAATAAGGTAAAACATAATCTAACTAGGTCAAAACATTATTTCGCAAGGGAAAACATAATTATCTAGGTAAAACATAATTTAACTCCTCAGGGGAAGCAAATCTTATTCTCTCTACACTGCTAGTAATTAAGTTACACACTGTGCATTAATATAATAATAATTACAGTTAAAAATCTAAACCTATAAAGATGTATATCTCTTCATATTATTTTCGATTAAATAGCAATGGTAAGGCTGATCATTAGCTACCTGGAAGGTTGCCTTGGTGATAATGAGTTCAGAGCTGTGCAGAACGATGCGCTTGGTGTTGTGTTGTATCGTCATGTTGATGACGGTGCGGCCGGTGAAGGTCATGGAAGTCAGGTTAAGGGTCAAGGAGAGGTCGTAGTTCACAGGCCGTACGCTGGCTGGGAGGCGGAGCTCATTCCAGGGAAACAGATCCCCATTAGCGCTGTTAGGATAGGCCGGCTCCATAGGAGTGGAGGAGTTAGCCTTACCACAGCCAGCCTGGGGAGAAAGAGGATCAACACAGTGAATATACACCGTTCCTTCAGAAAGTATTCACACCCTTTGATTTTGTTGTGTTACAGCCTGAATTTTAAATGGTTTAAATTCAGAATTTGTGTCACTGGCCTACACACACACACAATACCCCAGAATGTCAAAGTCCTCCGTGGTCCTCTGTAGCTCAATTGGTAGAGCATGGCGCTTGTAACGCCAGGGTAGTGGGTTCGATCCCCGGGACCACCCATACGTAAAAATGTATGCACACATGACTGTAAGTCGCTTTGGATAAAAGCGTCTGCTAAATGGCATATTATTATTATTATTATTATAAAGTGGAATTATGTTTTTAGACATTTTTACAAATTAATTACAAATGAAAAGCTGAAATGTCTTGAGTCAATAAGCATTCAAGCCCTTTGTTATGGCAAGCCTAAATAAGTTCAGGAGTAAAAATGTGCTTAACAAGTCACATAATAAGTTGCATGGACTCTCTCTGTGTGCAATAATAGTGTTTAACATGATTTTTGAATGACTACCTCATCTCTGTACCCCACACATACAATTATCTGTAAGGTCCCTCAGTCGAACAGTGAATTTCAAAAACAGATTAAACTACAAAGACCAGGGAGGTTTTCCAATGCCTCACAAAGAAGGGCACCTATTGGTAGATGGGTAAAATGTTTAAAAGCAGACATTGAATATCCATTTGAGCATGGTGAAGTTATTAATTACACTTTGGATGGTGTATCAATACACCCAGTCACTACAAAGATACAGGCGTCCTTCCGAACTCAGTTGCCGGAGAGGAAGGAAACTGCTCAGGGATTTCACCATGAGTCCAATGGTGACTTTAAAACAGTTTCATAGTTTAATGGCTGTGATAGGGAAAAAACTGAGGATGGATCAACAACATTGTAGTTACTCCACAATACTAACCTAAATGACAGAGTGAAATTAAGGAAGCCTATACATAATACAAAATATTATAAAACGTGCATCCTGTTTGCAATAAGGCACTAAAGTAAAAGTGCAAAAATGTGGCAAAGAAATTAACTTTATGTCCTGAATACAAAGCATTATGTTTGAGGCAAATCCAACACATCACTGAGTACAACTCTTCATATTTTCAAACATAGTGGTGGCTGCATTATGTATTGGGTATACTTGTCATCGGCAAGGACTAGGGAGTTTTTTAGGATAAAAAGAAACGGAATAGAGCTAAGCACAGGCAAAATCCTAGAGAAAAACCTGGTTCAGTCGGCTTTCCAACAGACACTGGGAGACAAATTCACATTTCAGCAGGACAATAACCTAAAACAGAGCTTGAATAATTTTAAAAAGAATAATCTGCAAATATTGTACAATCCAGGTGTGCAAAGCTCTTAGAGACTTACCCAGAAAGTCTCACAGCTGTAATCGCAGCCAAAGGTGATTCTAACTCTTCTAATTCTAATGTATTAACTCAGGGGTGTGACTACTTATGTAAATGTGCTATCTGTATTTAATTTTTCTATAAATTTGCTAGAATTTCTGGGGTATTGTGTGTAGATGGGTGAAAAAAAGCATATTTCAAATCAAATCAAATTGTATTTATGACATGCGCCAAATACAACTGGTGTAGACTTGACAGTGAAATGCTTGCTTACGAACCTTTCCCAACAATACAGAGTAAAAAAATAAATAATACAAAATAAAATAGTAACTAACACAAGAGGAATAAAATAAAATACACAAGAATGGAGCTATATACAGGGAGTACCAGTACCAGATCAACGTGCAGGGCTACGAGACAATTTAATGCATTTTGAATTCAGGCTGTAACACATCAAAATGTGGAATAGGTCAAGGGGTATGAATACTTTCTGAAGGCACTGTATATATACACACACTATCTTGACTTTTTGGCACTGGTGCCACTTCCCGTGGCTGTGGAGGCCAATGCAGGAGCCACACACTTTTCACATACACCCGATACTCCAACACACACACCCCTACCTTAGTGAAAGTACAGCCAGGCAGGAAGTAGAGAACCATCGCCATGGATGCGACCAGTACCAAGATGAACACGCCCACCACCAGCATACGAGCTGAGGGGCGGGAACATGACCTGGCCAAAAACAAAAAAACTGTATTTATTAATCTATAAATATAATATTTATCTTTAGTATTGTTAATGTTATTGTTTTTCATTTACTGTAAAGTGTACTGGGATGTTTAAATTCACTTTAAATAAAGTTTGATTTGAAAAGTAAAAAGGACCTGGGTGGAGCCTGTCTGTTGTAAGGGGAGGAGCTAGGACTGTGGGTGGAGCTTCTGTTCATGAATGACATGCCCAGTAGGCGGGCTGACGACTCATAGTCATCCTCCTCATCGTCCAGGTCGTTCTCTCCCAGACCTCGCACCAGCAGACGGGAGCAATGGGGCTCGTACACCACCTCATCTGGTTCCAACGCCTGGAGGAGGGAGGTGGAAGAGAGAGAGAGAGAAAATAAAAGAGAGAGAACGCGAGATATGAAAATCTGGAAAAACTCTAACAGTTAGAAGAGAGGGGACTACTGATGGGTGGATGGGTTAATGTCAGTGTTGCATAGTATGTAATTACCGGGAAGGCTGTTGAGTCTTTGGCCAGGTCCACCACGTCAGGTTCCTCCTCAAACATACTGTTCTCTATCATGTTCCTGGGCAGGGACGCTCGCTCTGGTTACACACACAAACAAACAAAAGGTTAATATATACACACACAGACACACACACACACACGTTCAATAAAATGTGCGTGTGTGTGGCTCCCTTTCTATTGATTCTCCCCTGTGTCTCTACAAACAAACAGAGAAATGCTCAACTCGCTCTAATTCAATAATAACAACAGTAGTCAAACTGTATAAAATGTCCCATTGCGCCTCTTGGTAAAGGGCGCCGTTCTCTCCTGTAATAAGACCAAGTCTTCTGAAGTCCCAGTGTGTGTCTGTGAATCGTGTGTGTACCGTGTAGGCTAAGTGAAGAGCTAGCTAGTTTCATCATCATAACTAATGACAACACTAAACAAAGCCATCTCATACACCTAGTACGTTCCATTGTGTGTTTTCCATTGTGAGAAAGCGTGCGTGTTGGTAGGGCCCAGTGAATAGGAGAAAGCTAACTGAAGCCATCTGAGTTTCCTCTATCCCTTCCTGCAGCAGATATAGTCCTGATTCAGAGATCATGAGGTCTGCAGCGCTGCAGCCAGTCCTGCTCCTAATAATAGGCCTAGATATGGAGCTGAATATGTAATAATACCCAGATCAAAATAAGAACCAAAGCAACCTTATCAGATTATTCTGACTCACACCAACCAGACAGACCTAATGCCATGTTAGTGTCAAATGAGGCTGTGCTATAAATGTGGTATCTGTTATTCAGACCAAAATGAGAGCACCTCAAACTGAAACAGCAAGGGCTGTAGCGTAAGCAGCAGTGAAACAGAAAATGTCAGCAACAGCTCACCACACTTTTCCTGTTTTCACCAAATAAACACAGAAACAGACTCAGAGCCACAGACATAGATGTTTATCCTATAGCCTACACAACTTAGCTAGAGCCACACAGACCTGAAGTTGGAGGCCAGTTGTGCTAGGACTAGGCTTACCCCAGGTCTACCCCAGGCAGGGCCCAGACCAGGACTACCTGGGGCCTCAGGGCGTATAAGGCCAAGTAGGTGAAGCTGTGTTTTAGTGAAAACAACCTGACTGTCTGTCAGCTGAACAAGGAATAACCTCTGGACATTTCAGCTCCATATGTAGGCCTACTAGTGCCCTCACAATGTCCAGGACAGGATTCCCCATCAGTTAGGCTTTTCACGTAGGCCTTGTGCATTCTGAATTGAAGCAGGCTAGGCTAATGAAATAACATACTTGGAATATTTTCCAAATAGTCAATTAAGCTTTAATGAAAAAGCCCCCACAGAGAAAGACAGCTGTGTCTATTGACCAGTAGTGTGTGTGAGTGTCAGTGAGTGTTCCAATCTGAACAGACAGAAGTCCCTTTATTTGCTGTAATAAAGCTGTTGAGCCATAAAGCAGACAGCACAGAGTTAGAGCAGGAGAGTACAGTCAGTGCTACTGAGCCTACAGAAATAACTTGCTGGTCCTTATCAGATTGAGCACACACACCACAGAGAGGGGATAAGGAGCCCTATCAAACATACAGGTCTGAACAAGCAACCAGTTGAGCGAGTTAAGAGGCAAATAAAGGCACATATGATTGAGTTGTGTAGGATAAACTCAACTGTGACATAATGTAGCCTGCCTTCTAGAGTGTGTCACTTGCAGTTGCTAGTGTGAATGTTGCAAAGAGCTTGGTGTGTCTCCAACAGCTCGATGTGCTTTTAGAACAGATAAACAGAGCACTGAGCTAAAGCAGCCACCAGTCACAGACTGTAAATAACACTACACACAGCCTGGCCTAGCCTGGCCTGAGTAACTAAAACAAGAGGATATAGCATCTTTGAGTAGCAGAATATTGTGGGCTACATATCCAATTCTGACTAATGTTATCAATGATAGTTGTTATTTACAGGAGATACATGTAACATTTCCACCTGCAACTAGCACCAAATGTCTATTACATTTGGCAGGGATAGACATTAAGGTCGGAGAAAGGCACTTGCCCATTAGGCAAGCCAGAAGTCTTTTTTGGCCGAAGATTATGATCGCTTGCCCGAAAATGCTATTTTCACCTACACACAGGGGAGGAATCAGAAAGACCAGACTACTGGAATTCTTTGCATTTTGGTTGTTATCAGTGAGCGATCCCCTGTAGTAGCAAAGGAATACAAATCCACAAGAGTAAAACATATTTTAGAACGCTGGTTAATACATACACACATACAACAGCCCTCTGATGATGACTGGAAGAATAAAACACATCCAGCCTGCATGACACTAGAAATAAACCCAACTCAGATAGGCTTTACCTTGGCATATAAGCCAGTGGGCTAAGCCAATCTGAGTTGGGTTTCCTCACTTTCCTGGGTAGTAGGGTTAAATATTTTCCCAGTATTTACAAATGTTCCATCCATCCTGAGAATAAATCCCTTTTCTCCCGGGTAAACCAGTATTTCCCGCCAAAATCGTTCTAAAGCATATAAATACAGTGGGGAGAACAAGTATTTGATACACTGCCGATTTTCCTACTTACAAAGCATGTAGAGGTCTGTGATTTTTATCATAGGTACACTTCAACTGTGAGAGGCGGAATCTAAAACAAAAATCCAGAAAATCACATTGTATGATTTTTAAGTAATTAATTTGCATTTTATTGCATGACATAAGTATTTGATACATCAGAAAAGCAGAACTTAATATTTGGTACAGAAACCTTTGTTTGCAATTACAGAGATCATACGTTTCCTGTAGGTCTTGACCAGGTTTGCACACACTGCAGCAGGGATTTTGGCCCACTCCTCCATACAGACCTTCTCCAGATCCTTCAGGTTTCGGGGCTGTTGCTGGGCAATATGGACTTTCAGCTCCCTCCAAAGATGTTCTATTGGGTTCAGGTCTGGAGACTGGCTAGGCCACTCCAGGACCTTGAGATGCTTCTTACGGAGCCACTCCTTAGTTGCCCTGGCTGTGTGTTTCGGGTCGTTGTCATGCTGGAAGACCCAGCCACGACCCATCTTCAATGCTCTTACTGAGGGAAGGAGGTTGTTGGCCAAGATCTCGCGATACATGGCCCCATCCATCCTCCCCTCAATACGGTGCAGTCGTCCTGTCCCCTTTGCAGAAAAGCATCCCCAAGAATGATGTTACCACCTCTATGCTTCACGATTGGGATGGTGTTCTTGGGGTTGTACTCATCCTTCTTCTTCCTCCAAACACAGCGAGTGGAGTTTAGACCAAAAAGCTCTATTTTTGTCTCATCAGACCACATGACCTTCTCCCATTCCTCCTCTGGCTCATCCAGATGGTCATTGGCAAACTTCAGACGGGCCTGGACATGCGCTGGCTTGAGCAGGGGGACTTTGCGTGCGCTGCAGGATTTTAATCCATGACGGCGTAGTGTGTTACTAATGGTTTTCTTTGAGACTGTGGTCCCAGCTCTCTTCAGGTCATCGACCAGGTCTTGCTTGATTGTAGGTGACCAAATACTTATTTTCCACCATAATTTGCAAATAAATTCATTAAAAATCCTACAATGTGATTTTCTGGATTACAGGCCTCTCTCATCTTTTTAAGTGGGAGAACTTGCACAATTGGTGGCTGACTAAATACTTTTTTCCCCCACTGTAGCTATGCTCTCGGGTAAATAAATTAAACAAGTTCCAGGAGGCTAATCTTTTTGAGTATGGACTGTATTACTTTACTGTATTGTATTATGCGAACTGGAATTACGCACGTCGTTCAGACCATTAAGCTGGGAGAGAACATGTGATGCTGGTACAGGATATGCAGCCTACAAAGTTACAATTATAGGCTAGCGAATTTGATTTGAATTTTGAAAGATAATAGGGCCTATTTTACATGTTTATAATTAGTAGGACGTGCGTATTAGCCTACCTCCTCTTTCTCTCTCTATTGTTGCTTGCTTTCTTCCTCGCTTTCAACAGTTACATTTAATACGTTTCGTTGTCCTTATCTTCATCATTGTAATGACATGCTTGAATAATATAGGACTGGAATAAGATGCAGCGCGGTATCACTTTTCTTCACAAATAATAAATAAATAGCTACTATAGTCTACCGCCATCGCATTCAGCAAACAAGAGCTTGCATCCCTCTTTGAATAGTCTATTAGTATAAAAATTATAAAATAAAAATGTCAAGCAAGCTACTCTAGTCTAGATTTTCCTGGGACTCCAAGAGCTAAGGAGTGTTTTTTAAGTAGACAGGCAAGCGGAGTGCAGGTGAGTATTGCGCAAGAGACAGAGGCTATAATTTAGAAGCTTATGCATAACCCATCATCCATTAGCTAAATATAAGGCTAATATTGCATTGAATGTATTACCTGAAAGAGGTAGGCTAGGACATGTCTATATACACACTGAGTGTACAAAACATTACGAACACCATCCTAATATTGAGTTGCACCCCTTTTGCCCTCAGAACAGCCTACATTCGTCAGGGCATGGACTCTACAAGGTGTCAAAAGTGTTCCACAGGGATGCCGGCCTATATTGACTCCAATAGAGCCCAACAGTGGAGGTGTCATAATACCCATAATACCTAGCAGTCAAACAGGGAAATGGTTCCAATTGTTTTTCCACCATTCATTTTTCCCATAGGGGATTTTAGAAACACTTAAAATAAGGGTTGTGTTTTGTGTAGGCTTACCCTGGTGTGACGTTTTAATAAACATGTAAATCTCTCTCGGACAGTGTGACTTTTATCAATATATTTCGGCTGTATTTACTTTTTTTTGTTACTTAAAAAAAAAAACATGTACTGTGCCATTTTAGGTCATTCTGTTCATAGAAATAATGTATTATAATTTACAGTTCTCTCGCAGTTATTTATCCCGGGAAAGGGGAGTGGGTTTGGGCGGGAAATCTCAGTAACAAGGTTCCCAATATTTTACCCTAGTGGGTATGGCAAAGTGTAGGACAAGGCTGAACAATAAGGAAAGAATCATGTCCCAATAAACATAAAAAGAGTATGTGGTGTCAGTGCAATTCAGTCAATTCAACAGTTGTATCACAGATGGGTTAGTTATAAGTATATTTGGTTGTGTCACAGATTGATAGGGTTACTAGTATCACTTTGGTTGTGCTTTTCGCTCCCATTTTCCCTCATAACAATATCGAAATATTCTATCAGCTGTAACTGCAACTGGGCTGTCATAAGATTTCCATTTAGCCCCTTTAGCCCCTTACTGCTCTTTAGATGGCTAAGATACGTAGATAGCCTTTAATGGGTTAAATAAATAGGCCCTCGGCTGACAAGAGTCAAAAGTCAACCCTGACCTCAGCCCGACTGGGGAATGTGTCCCCAGTGAATGCCACTGAGAACACAGAATAACTAAAGCTAAAGATCCCAGTCTATTCAGGCAAACAGAGATACACTGGCTATTTTTATTTAGCTGTACTCAAAGGCCAGGCATAGCTAGCTATGTTTCTATCAGCTAACATTCCCATCATTACAAGTGTATGAATGCTGATTAGTCCGTACCAAAACTGCTGCCTGGCTATCAAGAGCCTGACACTTGTTGACTTGGAACGTTCTGTACTGTAGGTAACCGTCCGCAAGCTAAAATGCTAACTACTACAGAAATTGTGGCTGGCTAGAAAGTATGGGGAGCAGCTAGCTAGAGCCATCATCATTCCTTACCACTGTCAAAGGGGTCCTCCATGACAAGGTATCTGAAAGAGCCGAGCTGTCCTCACTTCACTGATAATAACAGCATGCCGCAGGAGGTAACGACGGTTAAACAAACTCTGCCACCACACACTGACACAGACTAGCTGATGCTACTAGCCTTGCGCTGGCTGAGCTAGTATCAGCCCCGATCAGTCCACTGTGTAGCTGCAGTCTGTGTGCTAACTTGTAATATTGAAGTTAATAGCGTGTGCGATCAAATTAATTAAATATGATCAATCATCCAAACGATTCGCCATGCATTTCAATTACAGCTTCCTTCCTTCGTCTCCGCCCGGCAATGACTGTATGCAGAGAGGAAGAGGAAGAGAGGCCCAACTCGGCGGGACATCTGTCTCCCTCCAGCAGGTGGCGATGTTTCGCCCACTAAGCAAGGAATTTTTGTATGGAGGTCAATGAGTCGAATTTGGTCAACAAAAAATGTAATGGATTATTTGATACGTGAGGTTTATTTGATCAAATATAAGTTTCGTAATGCTTAAATTCTTACGAGTGTACTGATATAAGTAGGACACGTGACATCCCGGCAATTTGGAGAAACAACACTTTATATCGGAGTTGTCTGAATATGGCTAGGCATAGTCATGGCCGGAGGCAAGGAGCGTAGCATCGCATCTTTCTTCATTGAATACATGTGGTTGACGTCAACAACCCTCATCGAATATTCAAAAAATATTACAATAATGAGCTGTATCCACCAATCCCAAAAAAGTATAGGCGGGAGCGAGACAGCTTTGTGGACAACGACTCCCATTGTTTGGGCGGAGAGACTTGTATCTTGTCAGTATATCCATAATCTCTCTCTCTCTCTCTCTCTCTCTCTCTCTCTCTCTCTCTCTCTCTCTGTCTCTCTCTGTCTCTCTCTGTCTCTCTCTGTCTCGCTCTCTCAATTTCAATTTAAGGGGCTTTATTGGCATGGAAAACATATGTTTACATTGCCAAAGCAAGTGAAATAAATAATAAACAAAAGTGAAATAAACATATATATTTTTTACAGTAAACATTACACTCACAAAAGTTCCAAAGGAATAAAGACATTTCAAATGTCATATTCTGTTTATATACCATGTTGTAACGATGTGCAAATAGTTAAAGTACAAAAGGGAAAATAAATAAACATAAATATGGGTTGTATTGGGCTGTGAGCTCGCAATGAGTAAATATGGGCTGTGAGCTCGCAATGAGTCATCAAGCCACGGAGCAGGAGGGGAGGACCGAGCCGGCCGGGAGGATAGGGGAAATAGAGAGTCAAAGGATGCAGAAAGGGAGGAGAGGAGGGTTGAGGAGGCAGAATCAGGAGATTGGAGGTAGAAGGATTTAGCAGAGGGAAGAGATGATAGGATGGAAGAGGAGAGAGTAGCGGGAGAAAGAGAGCGAAGGTTGCGACGACACATTACCATCTGAGTAGGGGCAGAGTGAGTAGTGTTGTAGGAGAGCGAGAGAGAAAAGGATACAAAGTAGTGGTCGGAGACATGGAGGGGAGTTGCAGTGAGATTAGTAGAAGAACAGCATCTAGTAAAGATGAGGTCAAGCGTATTGCCTGCCTTGTGAGTAGGGGGGGGGACGGTGAGAGGGTGAGGTCAAAAGAGGAGAGGAGTGGAAAGAAGGAGGCAGAGAGAAATGAGTCAAATGTAGACGTAGGGAGGTTGAAGTCACCCAGAACTGTGAGGGGTGAGCCATCCTCAGGAAAGGAATTTATCAAGGCGTCAAGCTCATTGATGAACTCTCCAAGGGAACCTGGAGGGCGATAAATGACAAGGATGTTAAGCTTGAATGGGCTAGTGACTGTGACAGCATGGAATTCAAATGAGGAGATAGACAGATGGGTCAGGGGGAAAAGAGAGAATGTCCACTTGGGAGAGATGAGGATTCCTGTGCCACCACCCCGCTGACCAGATGCTCTCGGGGTATGCGAGAACACATGGTCAGACGAGGAGAGAGCAGTAGGAGTAGCAGTGTTTTCAGTGGTAATCCATGTTTCCGTCAGCGCCAAGAAGTCGAGGGACTGGAGGGTAGCATAGGCTGAGATGAACTCTGCCTTGTTGGCAGCAGAACGGCAGTTCCAGAGGCTGCCTGAGACCTGGAACTCCACGTGGGTGGTGCGACCTGGAACTCCACGTGGGTGGTGCGTGCAGGGACCACCAGGTTAGAGAGGCAGCAGCCACGCGGTGTGAGGCGTTTGTATAGCCTGTGCGGAGAGGAGAGAACAGGGATAGACAGAGGCATAGTTGACAGGCTACAGAAAATGGCTACAATAATGCAAAGGAGATCGGAATGAAATGAACTAAACATCTGGAAAAGGAGAGAGCGGGGCCTCCCTCACTTACGTTTCCCTGAAACACCCAAATATAACTCTCCCAACTTCCACCTCAGAAACTATAATTGTTGTAAACTACAGCGGTTCAAGGTTTTCTAGGAATAGACTAACTTAGTTTATTCAGCTAGCTAACTTGGTACAGTATTCTTCTGTGAAAATTGTCCAGGGCACCTAGTCATATGACGCCACAGCCAACTAGCATGCCGGACTCCAACAACACGGTTTAGCACCAATACTCGGCCACAACAAACCACCAGTGTGTCAACACGCCAAGCAGATCATTCATGTCCGTGTCTAACGTTGTGGGTTAGTCCCGACAGCTTGAGCGAGTCCGTCGTCAACTTATTCAGCCAGTTAGTTAGCTAGAATAGTTAGCATACTAGCTAGCCATTGCTTTCAGACAACGAAGAAACCCCTCCTCCCACGGCACGAACACACAGAGAGAGCCAAGCTAACGTTAACTAGTCACCCATGTCCCGAATTCCCTTGAATGACTCTGGCTACCAGTATGTAAAAACAAAACACAAATGTAGGTTATAACTTACCCCTAGCAGCTACTGTTAACTAGCCAACGCTAGCCACTGAATTGACTCAGCCAGTTTGCGTCTGTTCGCTAGGTCGTTCCAGCTATTGTTTAGTAGCCATCCAGGTAGCAACAAGCTAGCTAAATTTCAAGCACAGTAGCCACTTACTACCTAACGTTAACGCTTCAGACAATGAGGTTAGAAAAACAGCTGAATGGTAGGCATTATTGTATGTAATTATTGTAGGCAGCTAGCTAGCGTAATTACAGGTACTCTCAGGCGTGAAACAACTATCCACAGTTGCTAATAGTTACCAGTAGCTACCCGCTAGCTAGTCCAGGTAGTGGGTTAGCTAGCTTCGTGCTTCACCGGGCTCAGCCGAATACAATACTAACCTACAATAATTACATACAACAACCCACAATAACTACCTACAATACCTAACTACAATCTAAATACATCGTTTAAGCTTTACTCGACAAAGCCCAAACTATGTATATAAGCCATATAAGCCAAGCTTACCTCCCGCCAGAGAGAGACACAACCTCACCTGACGACGACGACCTCACCCGACGACGACGACACATCTGCTTTTGCACATTTACAGTGGTGTTTGTTCTTCAGTGGTTGCCCAAATCTTGCTGCTAAAGATGGCACACTGTGGTATTTCACCCAATAGAAATGGGAGTTAATCAAAATTTGATTTGTTTTCAAATTCTTTGTAGGTCTGTGTAATCTGAGGGAAATATGTGTCTCTAATATGGTCATACATTTGGCAGGAGGTTAGGAAGTGCAGCTCAGTTTCCACCTCATTTTGTGGGCAGTGTATTTGTATTTGTATTTTATTATGCTACTCTTCCTGGGGTCCGGCAAAATTAAGGCAGTTATACAATTTAAAAAACATTACAATACATTCATAACAGATTTCACAATGCACTAAATGTGTGCCCTCAGGCACCTACTCCACTTCCACATATCTACAACACAAAATCCATGTGTATGTGTGTGTACAGTGCGTATGTTATCGTGTGTGTATGCATGTGTCTGTGCCTATGTTTGTGTTGCTTCACAGTCCCTGCTGTTCCATAAGGTGTATTTTTATCTGTTTTTTAAATCTGATTCTACTGCTTGCATCAGTTACCTGATGTGGAATAGAGGTCCATGTAGTCATGGCTCTATGTAGTACTGTGCACCTCCCATAGTCTGTTCTGGACTTGGGGACTGTGAAGAGACCTCTGGTGGCATGTCTTGTGGGGTATGCATGGGTGTATGAGCTGTGTGCTAGTCGTTTAAACAGACAGCTCGGTGCTTTCAACATGTCAATACCTCTCATAAATACAAGTAGTGATGAAGTCAATCTCTCCTCCACTTTGAGCCAGGAGAGATTGACATGCATATTATTAATGTTTGCTCTCTGTGTACATCCAAGGGCCAGCCGTGATGCCCTGTTCTGAGCCAATTGCAATTTTCCTAAGTCCCTCTTTGTGGCACCTGACCACATGACTGAACAGTAGTCCAGGTGTGACAAAACTAGAGCCTGTAGGACCTGCTTTGTTGATAGTGCTGTTAAGAAGGTAGAGTAGCGCTTTATTATGGATAGACTTCTCCCCATCTTAGCTACTGTTGTATCAATATGTTTTGGCCATGCACATAGCCTGTTCTCTTGAGAGCTAGGTCTGCCTACCAGTCAGGATGCTCTGCATGCATTATTTGGTGTTTTACATTGTACACAGAGGATTTGTTTTGAAGAATTCTGCATGCAGAGTCTCAATTTGGTGTTTGTCCCATTTTGTGAAGTCTTGGTTGTTGAGCGGACCCCAGACCTCACAACCATGAAGGGCAATGGGTTCTATAACTGATTCAAGTATTTTTAGCCAGATCCTAATTGGTATGTCAAATTTTATGTTCCTTTTGATGACATAGAAGGCCCTTCTTGCCTTGTCTCTCAGATCGTTCACAGCTTTGTGGAAGTTACCTGTGGCGCTGATGTTTAGTCCGAGGTATGTATAGTTTTTTATGTGCTCTAGGGCAACGGTGTCTAGATGGAATTTGTATTTGTGGTCCTGGCAACTGGACCTTTTTTTGGAACACCATTATTTTTGTCTTACTGAGATTTACTGTCAGGGCCCAGGTCTGACAGAATCTGTGCAGAAGGTCCAGGTGCTGCTGTAGGCCCTCCTTGGTTGGGGACAGAAGCACCAGATCATCAGCAAACTGTAGACATTTGACTTCAGATTCTAGTAGGGTGAGGCCGGGTGCTGCAGCCTGTTCTAGTGCCCTCGCCAATTCGTTGATATATATGTTGAAGAGGTGGGGCTTAAGCTGCATCCCTGTCTCACCCCACGGCCCTGTGGAAAGAAATGTGTGTGTTTTTTGCCAATTCTAACCGCACACTTGTTGTTTGTGTACATGGATTTTATAATGTCATACGTTTTT